CTGGTACATCAGGCACGAGAGCGCGCCGCCGGCCACGTAGAACTGGCAGAACATGTGGCAGGGCGGCAGGGCCATCAGGGAGAGGTCGGCGGGGTTCCACGCGGACAGCAGGATCCTCCCGCAGTCTTTTGCCGGGCAGATCTGAGGAGGGGACAAGACACACAGAGACACAAGGAATCGTCGATTCCCAAGAAAAGATGGGAGAATATGGGAAGTGGGGGGGGGGACGACAGGAACCCAGAAAATACAGGAAAATATGGGGAATAGTTTTATTCGTGTGTACTTCTTTGTGTGTCCTGGGGCCCCTTGAGTCTTGCCGGGCAGGCCGACGAGCCGGAGAACCGGGAAGGAGGCGGGGACACCGCCGGCAGAGGGTGCGGCGGGGCGGCAGTGCCACCAAAGAAAGGGAAGGGCTGGCGGGGCTCCACAAGGACAGCGAGATCCTCCCGCAGTGCTGCCCAGCAGATCGACGACGCGGAGAACTGTGAAGACCGAGCGGATGTAAAGGGGCCCCAGAACACACACATAAATATACACACTACACATATTCCCTGTATTTTCCTATATGTTATGGGCTTTTGTCTCCCCCCCCTTCCCATATTTTCGCATAATTTCTGGGGAATCGACGATTAATTGTGTCTGTGTGTCTTTTCCCCTCCTGAGGATGACGGGTCGCAGGAGACGGGTAAGGGGGGAAGGGAGGTGCGCGGAGGGGAGGTGTGAGGAGAGGCATTGATGGTGACAAGGGGAGGGGAAGGGGGCGGAAGGGATGCAGCCAGACGGGGGAGGAGACCTGAGGAATGGAGGGGTATGTAGGGTGAGTGCGATGGATACGTGCACACAACCGTACGTGCAAGATGGAAACGGGCACTCGCGCCTGTGTACGGCAGGTTCGTGTCGTGTCGACCCCGGCGTTGGTTTTTGACACCGCAGGGATCGTTCAACCTTGAACGATCGGCCATTTCCGCAACGTCCAATCGTTCAACATCGACCGATTCTGGGCCGCCGCCGGCGTTCAACCTTGAACGCCCGCGCTGGGGTCGCCGCTGGTCGACACGACGCAAACCTACCGTAAATGTAGTCTGCCAGCCCACTGGGCAGTAGGGGCGAAAGGCTGTGATGGTGCTGCTGGACTGCTGCTTTTCGCTGATGGGTCATTTGTTCATGGACTCTCGTTCCTCTAACTAGCCCTGTTCTGGTGTCTACTGGGAAAGTGGCGGCGGGCGCGCAGCAACAAAATCGCCACTTGGGGAGGCCGCATCGTCCTGGCTGCACTGGGGCGCCAAACGTCTCCCACAGGGACGCCACCAGACGACGGGCCCAGGAGGCCTCCAGGACGGCCCCAAGATGGGGAAACCAAAAGGTACCCATACCGCGACTCCCCAGACCACTCCTGGGGTGCGTTCTGACCGAGACTCCGAGGCGAACCCAGCGGTGGCGACGAGGCCTTCCAAGGAGGCCCCACAAAGCGAAAACGAGGCGAGGGTGCCGGTATGGGTACCTTTCCCTGCGGCCGATCCCAAACCCCCGACGTCATGATTTTATCACGACGCGACCCCCAGAGCCCCGGACCCGTATCCCGGGACCGCTTCTTCATGCTGAGTCGTTCTTTGACGGCCCCGAGGCCCGGCAAAGGCCCCCCAAGGCCGAAAACATAGCGAAACGCCTCCCGCCGTGATTTCTTCATGACCCGAGGAGGTCGGGGACGATGGGCTCCAAGATGCGCAGGCGAGGCCCGAGGAGCGGGCCCGGCAGGGCCTCCCAGCTGGGCACTTCATCATCCTTGTCCTCACCATCCATCCTGTCTTCTCTCCTCCTCCCCACCATCATCGTCATCGTTATCGTTATTATCGTCATCATCGTCACCTTCATCATCATCTTCTTCTTCATCATCATCATCATCATCATCATCATCATCATCATCATCATCATCATCATCATCATCGTAATCGTCATCGTCATCGTCATCGTCATCATCCTCATCCTCATCATCACCACCATCATCATCATCATCATCATCATCATCATCATCATCATCATCATCATCATCATCATCATCATCATCATCATCATGGTCATCATCATCATCATCATCATCATCATCATCATCATCATCATGATCATCGTCATCGTCAGCATCATCATCATCATCATCATCATCATCATCATCATCATCATCATCATCATCGTCTTCGCCATCGTCATCACCACCATCGTCATCGCCATCCTCATCATCATCACCCCAATGATGCGGGCCCTCCGCCGGGCCAGCCGGCCGCCCCGCGCCCCCACCGAGAAACAGGCCCCGAGCTGGGGCGGCCGTGCCGGAGAGCCGCCGAAGGCCTCGCTCGCGCGCCCCTGCGCGCGCGCGCTCCGAGGGCTCCCGCGCAGGACGACTCGAAGAGGCACGTCGCACACTTCATTGTGTCTTTTTCTTCTTTCCCCTCCTGAACCCTGCGCCCCCACCCCCCCTTCCCGATCAGAAAAGCCAGGACCCAGGGGAGCGCAGCAGGCAGGGCCAGACCTCGGGCAGAAGAGCATCCTCCTGCAGGAACCCGAGAGCCTCCGCCAGCCAGCCAAAAAACCGAAGGCCGGGAGACCACTCGAGGGCACGGGGTTTCTTAATAAGTGTGGGGGGGTACCCCCACGACGGGGTCAACCTCGCCTCGTCGTCGCGCCGCGACGGGGGTCGGAGAGCGCCTTCGGCGCGCGGTGGCTGCCCGCGACGGGGGTCGATGTGGGGCTGTCGGAGGGGGTGACGCCCCCCCCACGCTCATTGAGAAACTCGGAGTACCCAGAGGTCCGACGCTCCAACCGGTGGATCTGCCGACTCTGCGGGTGCACGAACAATCGACACGCCAAAGTCTGCACCAAGGTGGCTGGGCGTGAGCTGCGACCGCTATGTGAGATGGAGAAGAGGAACATCCAGAACCAGCGTAAGGTGCCGACGATTCCTGGCTTCCAAGATATACGCCGCCAAGGAACCGAAGGACAGCGCGCTGAGAGCTTCGACCAATGATGGGATTGTGATGTAATCAACCCTCGGATCAGAAGCGAAGACGGATGCTCGGTCGTGGCGTGTGGAGCTCATAGGGAGCTAACATTGAGAGGCTACGTCATCCCCAAGACTGGATGCGAGGGCGGAGCGACGCTAGCCGCCTGTTTCCTGCGTGGAATCTGCAGCCGGCCCCTGGAGCTTCGGAAAAGCTGCGGACGCTCGCGGAGCAATCGGACCATTCACATCTGCAGCAACTCCTGGACAGGGAAGGGGCCCAGTGGACAGGAGTGAGCGAGAAGCACGAGGAAAACGTGAAGCTCTCACGTAATATGATGTCGAACGCTGATTCAAAGCGGGTGAACGCGTTGGAGAAAGTGCTAGTAGGCCCGAGTGAATCTCTTCTACGAGAAACCCGAGCATGGAAGTTGGGTCTGTCTCACTTGCCATGAGATGCACCCGGATTGGACGACATTCGCCGTGGCAATGAAGAAAGACGGGCCCTGCCCGGCGGTGGACAAGAACCCGGCTGATAGGATCTACTCAGCCTGGAGAAATCGTATAGGACGTCGTGAGAGCGCTGACTTCGAGGTGGAAAGGGGCGGACGTCTGCCGGCGGTTGTGACTCATCTCGCCCTGGAACGGCGCGCAAAAGGCGCAATGATGGATGGAAGCGCAGCCATCGTCAGCGGGGGAAGACAATCTGCCATCGATGTCCGGGGTGTAACCCAGCGAGGGATATCAGAGCCGCTACTCCTACGGCGGATTACTGGATTGAAAACAAGAGATGCACGCGCTGCACGACGAAGGTGCGCGGTAAGTGTCCGACCTTGCCAACGTGCTGCAGCGGATTGTTGCGTGGATTTCCGTCTACGCAGAACCCCGAAACGGCGAGCGGAAAACAAAGTAACTTTCGCGTGGATTTGTTTGCTTCTTCATTCCCGGCCAAGAAGAATCCGCACGAAATTCACCTCGAAATCCGGAGCAACATTCTCCAGGACACTGCGGGCCCATCCCACTGTTTTCAGAACGAAATCCGCTCTGCGATGCTGGCGCCATGAGAAGCGCATTTGGTGGATGAATCGGGAGATCGGGCGGGGCGATACGCTGAACTGCCACTGGCGGACGCAGCAGGGCGGCTGCGGACTGCCCCGCCTGCGGGCGAAGAGTTCGGCCAAGAATCGGAGCTGGCTGGAGCAGCCATGCCCACTGCCACCACCCGCTTTCAAAGGCGCCGCTGCAGAGATCCCGCTCGGGAAGGTGGACGCAAGAGCGGCGAAGACCTCTCGGAAGCGCGACGCGAGTCCCGCTCGGGCGCGAGAGGCAGTCACAGAGAAGCAGAGACGAGCGGCGAAGAGGCGCGAAGATAACAACAACTTAAACTTAAAACTTAAAAAAACTTAATAAACTTAAACAACATAAAAACTTTAAAAGCAGAGACGAGCGGCGAAGATCCCCCCTACAGGGGGATGTTGGACGAACATTGAAAAAAAACTCAGCAAATACTCCCAAATACTCAGAAAATATTGAACAAATCGTGCCCGTACTATTTTCTGCCCACTTTTGAATTTTCCTCCTGTAGAGGGACGTGCCCGACTCAAAACAAATCGCAGGCAAGGAGTCCGGCGCATGATGCCGGGGGCCGAGCCTGGAGCGCCAGCGCGCGGTCTGCGACGTCGGCCGCGGCACCGCGGCGACGAGCCGAACAGGTTGGACCGATGAGGGCCAGCCAGGGCTAGGTCGGGCGTGTCCCCCTGCAGGTGGATGTTGGACGACAAATCAAAACTAGTCCACACATGCCCCGAAGCAGTCCGAAGATCACAAACAAGCCGCCCCCTGACTATCTATAGACTGTTTCTTGATATTTCCCCTGGAGGGGCACGCCCGACTTAAAGCCAGGGTCGACGGCAGCACGAAGCCGGGCAACACCGCCGCGAAGATGACAGATGATCCGGTTGGTCGAAAGGCGATCGAGGTCCAGACTCAGCAGCGGCGAGCTCGACGCCGAAGCCGTGGAGCAGACGTGAGTCCACGGGCGGAAAAGGTCGAACGGACGGCAGAGCTCGGAGTCGAGACCGCGGGGGAACAGGAGCCGCGACTTCGAGAGATAGGATTAGGTAGGCCAGGCCTTCCTAGAGGAGAATTTGGACGAAAAATTCAAAATAGTCAGAACATGTTCAAACATATGTAAACAAAAACTAAGAGAATCGTCCCCTGACTATTTTTTGGCTATTTGGGAACGTTCCTTCTGTAGAGGGACAGGCCCGACTTAAAGATAGGAGCTGGGGCCAGGGGGCAGCCGCGAGCGCAGCCTTCTGGGCGAGCCGGCCGCCTGGCGCGGCCGCCAACCCGACCGAGGCCGGCGCCGCCGAGCCAGCAGAACGGTGGAGCACGGCAGCTCTCACGATGGTCGTCGGCGTCACGTTGGGGATCTGCTAATTACCAGCCTCGAACGTATCCCTTTCCCTAAGATTGACACGCAAAAAGGCGATGACAATATTAGGGATGCGCCCTCAAAAAATAAGGAAATCCCTAAGATTGGCATCGTGATGAGGAGGTGCCCAGCATAGGGATAGGGATATGTTCCAGGCTGGTAATGCTAACCCGGGTCAATCAGACCCGGGTCAGCAGGACATCAAAACATTGCAATGCAGGAAGAAGAAACTGCAACGCAGGGCTTCGCAAACACGGGTCAGCCAGTAGGCGCGGCCGCCTCGCGGCCACGAGCGGCTCGCTAACCCGGGTCAGCCAGAGGGGGTCTTCCCAGGATCCTGCAGGATCTGGTGCCCTGGCTGACCCCCGTTTGCATTGACCCCCGTCTCTCAGGCTGCGATCACGATCGTTGCGGTGCTCGCCGGGAACCTAATTACTTCTCCAGGAAGCCACCCGGAAACAGGGTGAACTTCCGATCAAAGAGCGACTCGCGCAGTGGCCCATACGGACCGTCAAAGCCGCGCTGGCGGACCCAGCTGGGGAGCGCCGCGGGCAGAACAATCCCGTTGCAAAGACTCCAGCCCTGCAGAAGGATCTGCCGCTGATCATGGAGGACACTGTCACGATCGAGGAGGCCCGCGAGGTCCTTGCCGCGCCCAGGTGCAGGATCGTCAAGGAATGTGGCAGCGGACCCAGGCAGGTCCGGAGAGTGCTCGTGGTTCGCCCACGATCGAGCAGCGTTGCTGGACCCGGAAGGTTTCGAAGCGTACTACCGCATGTGGATGGACGACCAGATGCAGAAGCGCCGGGGCGTGATTCTTCTGCTGCCCGAGGAGCGACAGGCGCGAGTGCTCTGCCGGTGGATCTGAGGAGAACCCGATTCGTTCAAGAAGATGCCGCAGAGCCAATCGAAGCGGTTCCCCTCGGTGCTGTTGGTGGTAGCATGCGCAGACCAAGACGGGTAGCCACAGGCGCGATGCAACCAGGCGAGGGAGCTGGCCGACGCCTTGTATGGCGAGTACATCCAAAGGACCATGAAGACGGTCACTCCGTTCCCTGAGAAGGCCCCGCCCATGGCGTGTGCCGTGCGGGACTTGGAAAACAGCAGTACACGTCGTTCATTTATAATCGTGCTCATTTCTAATTGTGCTCGTTTCTAATTGTTCCTGGCCCCCTGTTGGCCAGGAAGAGGCCCACGGTAGAAGAATGAGAAATGAAAGGATCTTGGCCACCCAACCAATCAAAGAACTTTCGAATCATTAGACATGAACAACGTGTACATCCAAAGACAGTCACTCAGTTCTCTGAGAAGGCCTAGCCCATGGCCTGTGCCGTGCGGGACTCGGAGAGCAGCGGCACGAGGACCGACGAAGCGATTCTGCGTGTCGCCAATATGCTGCTGCGCGAGCTCGCGCGGGCAGAGCGCAGGCCTGCGGGGGGGGGGAGGGGGCCAGATACTTGAAGCGCTCTTTGAAGGGGCTCTGGGACACAAAAATAAATACACACAAATAAAGGGATTCCCCGTAGTTTCCCTTATTTTCTGGGGAATCGACGATTAGTTGTGTCTGTGTGTTTTTTCCCTCCTGACTCTTGGCGAGGTTCGCTGGGGGCGTTCTGGACCTGAGAAAGAGGCGCAGGGCGACGTCCACATGGCGGACGAACGCAGCCGAGTGGGGCGCCCGGTCGGGCCGAGAGGAGGAGGCGCCCGAGCGACATGACATGGACATCGCCAGGAGGTGGATGGAAGATGAGGGCGACGAACTAGACGCGGTAATCGACGGCTTGCCGAGCGGCCCAGCCAGCGTTCTGAGACCGACCGCCCCACTGACCGAGTCGAAGGGCCGGCCAGAGCATCTGTGCCGAGCAAGCGGACGGCCTCTCGCAGGCTAGCTCCACGCCGCTCCTTGCGATGTCCGTGGCTGAAGGGGCCCTGGGACACACACGTAAATACACACAGATAAAAAGATCCCCCATGTGTTCCCATGTGTTCTGGGTTTTTGTCTCCCTCCCACCTCCCATATTTTCCCATATGTTCACGGGAATCGCCGATCAATTATGTCTGCGAGTGTCTTTCCCTCCCGAGTGGTGGCGACGAGCGACGCCGACGGGCGCGGCCTCCGCTTGCCCGACCGGGTCGGGCTCCGTCTTCACCTGCCCGGGAGCAGCGAGATCCGAGCGGGCGCAGCCTCCGCCGCGGGGCACGGTCGCAGAGAGCTGGACAGACCTCGCCAGTCGAGAGGCCTCGGACCCTGCGGGCATGGAGGTCGAGGATGCGGCGCGGTTCCTGGGCAGTCTTCGGGCTCTCCTGGGCCGTCTCGCGGCTCTCTTCGGGGCCTCTTCGGCGGTCTTGGCGCGGTCCTCGGAACGCCTTCGGCCGTCTTGCTCGAGGACGCGAGAAAGCGAAGCACATCAGAGAAAACCACCGCAACTCAAGGACATGGGCCTCTTCGGGCTCTCTCGGGACGCCTCTCGGAGCGCTTTTGGGGGCCTCTTGGAAGGCTCTTGGGCTGTGCATTGGCCGTGTTGGGCCCATCTGAGGCCACGTTGGGACCATCAGGGCCGTCTTGGAGCGCCTTGGGGCCTCCCGCCCCCGCTGTGGGGCCCAGCTTGGGCAGTCTTAGGCACGCCCGGGGGGCTGTCCCGGGACGTCTGTCCTGGGGCTGTCTTGGGCAGTCTTAGGCTCGTCCCGGGCAATTTTCGGGCTCCCTGGGGCCGTCTTGGGGCTCTGTTGGGGGCCTCTTCGGCCGTCCTGGAGCGGTCTTGGGGGGGTCGTCGGCCGTCGTGGAGCGTCGGAAGGTCGAAAACGCGAGACACCGAAAAACAGAATGACAACTAATGAAAATCAAAGATTTGGGCCTCTTCGGGCTCTCTCGGGTCGCCTCTCGGAGGTCTCTTGAGGCCTCTTGGAAGCCTCTTGGGCTGAGCCTTTGCGGTCTGGAGCCCATCTGGGGCCACGTTGAGGCTATCTGGGCTGTCTTGGAGGGGCTTGTCGAAGTCCCCCGGGGGCTTCTGGGAGCGTCTTGGGCAGTCTGGGGGCTCCAGTGCCGCTCAGGGGTGCTCTGGGAGCGGTCTCGGAGGCCCCGGTCCGCCCATGCCCCCCTGGGCCCCGGGCGCCCGAGCCTCGTGCAAGGGGATATATATATATATATATATATGTATATATATACATACATATACACATATATATATATATACATATACACCTATATATATGTATATATACATATATGTATATGCATATGCATATATATATATATGTATGCATATGTGCACATGTGCGTTCACGCACATGTATATACACGAAAGGCCATCAAGAGGTGACGCAGGCGTCGGATAGGCTCCTCCGGTCGTTCGGGTCCTTCTTGATCTTGCGGATGCACTCCGCCAGCTGGTCTACGCCCTGTCCTGTGGACTCGCAAGTTGGCGACACGTATGACTCATCGCGCGCGAGCAGCTGGCGGATCTGCTGATCAGACGTCCAAATACAAATCAAACGTGATACGAACAATCATCAGATAGCCGACGCCCCGTGCGCCCGCACGCGCGCAGACGCTTGGATCACGCGAGCAGGCGCAGACCATCAGAACTGCACCAGCCTCCGCTGGCGCCGGCCTCTCCCATCCTGGGTGGGTGGGGCCCAGAAGCTACAGTCGAAGACACGAAGGATTGCAAAAAACACCCAAGGATTGCAAAAAAAAAAAACCCACGATGCGGCTTGGTTCCTTCGTTTTGCAATCCTTCTTGTTTGCAATCCTTCGTTTTGCAATCCTTCTTTTTTGCAATCCTTGGTTTTTTTTGCAATCCTTCGAACCAGCTGGCAGTTCCACACGCAGCTATGCCCTCCAGCGGGGCTTCGTGGCGAAGCTCCTCCGACCCTGCTCCCTCGAGGTCTCCACCTCGGCGGCTCCAGCCTAACCCTCCCCCCGCTCCAGACTTCTCCCGCCTGGGCTCCGAGCCCCGAAAAAGCACCGCCGCCTCAGACTGGTGATGCCTCGGAAGCTTCGCTCGAGCTGCACTTGCGGTGCTGCACTTGCGGCGACACTTCGCAGACATCCGGCGTCGTGAATCCAACCAGCCCTCTGGGCGTAGGTGGTCTAGGGCGCTTCTTCTTCCAACCCCCTTCTTCCCCTTTGAGGAGGGGTTCACCCCTCCCCCTACCCCCTCCCCTGGACCTGGACGGGGGGGGCCGCGACGCGTTGGAGCATCCAAGATGGCCCAAGATGGCTCCAAGAGCGCCTCGGAGAGCCCAAGACGACCTCCAAGATGGCTCAAGATAGCGCAAGATGCCTCAAGATGGCACCCAAGGTGCTCCAAGAGGCCCCAAGGACGCCCCGAAGAAGCCCACATCCTTCCATGACCAAAGGAAATCAAAGTTGCTGACTGTCTCGCCTTTTCGCTTCCGATGGCCTTCCGAGGCCTCAAGTTGGCTCCAAGAGAGCCTACGAGGGCCCCGAGAGAGGCCCAAGAGAGCCCCAAGACGGCCTCAAGAGCGCCCGAAGAGGCGATCTTTGGGGCTCCCAAGGGGCAACGCTAAATAAAGCTCCCCTCTTCTTTGATCGATATCCTCCAAGA